TGCTTCTTCTGATGTCTTGAAGTAGTCCTCAAACATAAGCAGAACATATCTTCCCCTGACCTGGATGCCTTTTCGGGATTGCTGCTCCTTGAAATTCAAGATCCTAGTTGCGAGGTCCCCTCCGGCTGAGCGCGTGAGCGCTGCTGATAACTTTGTATCCAGCGTAAGGAACTTTCCAGGATCTTGGAGTTTCTTCTCCAACTGCTCTCTGGTGCACTCTTGATCGTACACTTCGTTGAGCCAGAGCCACGCCTCATCCGGGCGATCTGAACAGCTCTTCACTTCATCCCTGACATGATTCTTCCAAGTTCTATATGACTCCGGAGCGGGCATGTTGTTCAGCTTGATGAGTTCAGCCTCCTTAGTTTTTGGCTTATCCTTTTCTTCCCTTTGGGTTAAGGCTTTCACCAATTCAATAAGATCTGAGGGACCCATAACTTGCTGTTGCTTGGTTGCGCTCTTAGGAGATTCATTTGGGGGAGTTTTGAAAGCTTCAGTGGGAGTGAAAAACCCTGACTGCGTTGGCAATTGGGGCTGGTCGTTGCCGACAGCCGGCTTTTGCTTGGGACTGCCACCTTTGAGCAGTTCATCCAACTTGGCCTTTGCTTCCTGCGTCAACACTGCAGGCGTCTTAAACTCAAGAATCGGCTCATCACTGCCTCTGGCAGCCTGTGCATCGGATGCTTTGGGAGTGGCAATATTGAAGTGGGGCACGCTAGTGGTAGCGGCCGGCTCGGCGTTCTGGACGGATGCTTTCGGAACGGAGGCATGCTGCGCTTTGGCAACATGCTTTAACTGCTCCTGAAGATCATCGATTTGGTCCTGAAGGCTAAGATTCTGAGCCGCTGCCTCGTTGATCTTGTCGGCCATCTCCTTCTTGTAGTTCTCAAACTCAGTCCTCAAACTGATGAACCTGACCTGATCAATTGCAGCCTGATCTTCATATTGCTTCTTTGTGGCAGCTATGGCATTCTTTGCATGTTCAACTGTCTGTGCATAGGAAGCTTCGAATTCACTAGTGATACGTTTTCTTTCCTCTGCAATTTTCTGATCATGCTTTGTGTTTGCCTCTGCCTTTACATCCTCTATTCTTTTGTCATGCGATGCCTGAGCCTGATTCAACCTGACCTCCATCTCGTCGCCTCGTTTCCTCTCCTCGTTGAGGGCACTAATGGCATTACCTTCAACCTCCTGCAGCCTTTGCTCATACTCCTGTTCCTGCATTACGAGTCTACTTGACCATTCGTTTCGAATTGAGTCAACTACTCCATGCATTATCTGAAGGTGCCTCTGTTCAGCTTCCCTCATGACTTGCAGGGTATTCCCACTAGTAATCTGGGACAGGTTGTTTTGTATGAAGGTAAAGTACGCAACAACGGGTTGGAACATTGTTTCGTCATCCATCGGCTCGGGGTTGCCCCCGGCCATATTAGGCACAGCGACAGCCGATGGACCTGACCCTGGAACGGCGAGAGGATGGTCAATTGGGGTCCCCATAGCAAAGTGGTGAGACTACGGCTGATAACCTGTATATTCACAGGTCAGCCACCAAATAGGTATTACAACACTAATGGGGTGAACCTACAAACCGCTCAGCTCCTGGTACTTTTGAACCAACGCTATCGGGCAGATCGATGATATATACAATACATGGTTTTACTGCAGGAGATTTTACACATATATATATATATAAGCGCTTCAAAGAAACAAAGGGAAACATAAGTGTCCCATTTAAAATCTGACAATGGAGATAAAGGGAAACATAAGTGTCCCATATATATATAAGCGCTTCAAAGAAACAAAGGGAAACATAAGTGTCCCATTTAAAATCTGACAATGGAGATAAAGGGAAACATAAGTGTCCCATATATATATAAGCGCTTCAAAGAAACAAAGGGAAACATAAGTGTTCCATTTAAAATCTGACAATGGAGATAAAGGGAAACATAAGTGTCCCATATATATATAACCGCTTCAAAGAAACAAAGGGAAACATAAGTGTCCCATTTAAAATCTGACAATGGAGATAAAGGGAAACATAAGTGTCCCATATATATATAACCGCTTCAAAGAAACAAAGGGAAACATAAGTGTCCCATTTAAAATCTGACAATGGAGATAAAGGGAAACATAAGTGTCCCATATATATATATAAGCGCTTCAAAGAAACAAAGGGAAACATAAGTGTCCCATTTAAAATCTGACAATGGAGATAAAGGGAAACATAAGTGTCCCATATATATATAACCGCTTCAAAGAAACAAAGGGAAACATAAGTGTCCCATTTAAAATCTGACAATGGAGATAAAGGGAAACATAAGTGTCCCATATATATATATATATATAACCGCTTCAAAGAAACAAAGGGAAACATAAGTGTCCCATTTAAAATCTGACAATGGAGATAAAGGGAAACATAAGTGTCCCATATATATATATATATATAACCGCTTCAAAGAAACAAAGGGAAACATAAGTGTCCCATTTAAAATCTGACAATGGAGATAAAGGGAAACATAAGTGTTCCATATATATATAACCGCTTCAAAGAAACAAAGGGAAACATAAGTGTCCCATTTAAAATCTGACAATGGAGATAAAGGGAAACATAAGTGTTCCATATATATATAACCGCTTCAAAGAAACAAAGGGAAACATACGTGTCCCATTTAAAATCTGACAATGGAGATAAAGGGAAACATAAGTGTTCCATATATATATAACCGCTTCAAAGAAACAAAGGGAAACATAAGTGTCCCATTTGAAATCTGACAATGGACAGGATAATGTGTTTTTTTTCAGTCTTTGAAGCGATTAAAACATATCCAAATCCTTCCCGCGGGCCTGATGCTTGGCTTCCAGACCACTTCCACCACAACCTTGGAACTGGGAAGATCTCTTACGGATGGCGTCACTTGAGACGCCCTAAATCCCCAAAAATACTGAAATCTATTTTGAGCAAGTAAACCTCAAGAGGACCACATCCGCAAAGGACCGCATCCGCAAAGATATCCGTGTGTCTCAGAGGCACGAATCTGTTGGCATTTTGGCACATGGCGTATCCGTGGTTCTTCTACACCTTATAAGATGTGGTTGGGAGACTCGGCTAGCAGCTCCTTGGCTCCCCAGCTTTTGTTACAGTTCGCTAGGGAAGCCATGGCCCATAAATTGGAGTATGTACTTGCCAGAAATGGTAATTTTCCTATGGTAGATTACTGAAGGGTAAATTGGCATCTCATTATATCTCATTATGCCTCATGATATCTCATTGTATACCATGATTGAATTCCAGTATCTTGTCCCATGATTCATGATTATATCCCATTGCTATACCTCACTATATATATATATATATCCCATTAGTATAGTCCATTATTGTTCTACTAATATTCAATTATACATCCCATCGATCACAATCACATCAACCAGTTCTCATCAGTTGGGCCATTAACCCATACCCCTATCCCATCTCATTCTAGTTGGTCTGAATTATCCTACTATGGGTTATCATAATCCCAGATCAAGTGGGCATTAGACATCCCTATACCCTTTATCAATATCAATCAATCAATCAATCAACAAGGGTATTTCAAACGGCCCAGTTGGTCAACCCACTTCCAGGTCTTTTCCAGGTCCCCTGCAGCGCTGTTGTGGCCACTGCAAGACCCGCAGCCAGGGCTGCACGCCGGCTGCCAGCATCCATGGCTGGCGCGTGGATGCAGGGCGTCCTGGCTGGGTGTTGCCAATCAACTCCTAGCATCTCCCAAAAGGATTCGACTTCTATTTTGGAACTATACGATAACTGGCAATACAAATAACTAGAACTAGATATATAACTATATAGCTTCTATAAGTAGGTTGGTTATCTAGTTTGAAGAATTGTCAGATACACATATCTGAATTATCATAGCGGGTTCGTTCATGAATTACCAATAGACAGTGTGTGTTGCTGACAACTTTCCCGTCAAACTAGGATAAAGCTCGAATTCCAAGCATCGAATGCCATGAACGGTCCAGCCGTGAAAAAACAGACGTCCGTCTTGCGCTGTGACAAGACGATGGATCCAAACAAAGCCATTCATTTTGTCATCACTCCGTAGCATTGTCATAACAAAAATTGAATGTATATTATATATATGTATGTATATGTGTATATATATATATACATATATACGTGTATTATATATATATATGTATATATATATATATATGTATATGTGTGTATTACTGTGTATACGTATATATTAATATATATATATAATTATATATATATATATCATAATTAGTCATTTAGAATGTACCGCAATCATCCTGTCTGTTGGAATCAACAAGCAGCCAACTAACAAGAATCCTAATATCACAATCATCCAACCTTTCTTTGTTGACCAGCAACCAACAACCAACCGTGCGCTTTCTGTTTTCTGCTTTACTGTAATCTCCGAGTGTTGAACTTGGAAACATCTGGAACCCGGAACTGTGCCTGTGTCTGCGTTCAAGACCGTTTTCAGCTCGGACGACATGTACATTGCTGCCGAATGTCAAGGAATGAGAGAGTCAATGGCTTTAATTTAGAAACCAAATCCTTTTGTGAAGAACAACCCCAAAATTTCAACGGATTACACAACTGCTCCGCAAACTTTTTCAGAGTATTTCAAGGGTGTATGATGGTGTATGTCTCTACGTCTCCTTCCACCACGTTTAGACCATCGTTCATTCCTCTCATTCCTCGCCATTGCTGCACTGTGTGCCCGCCACATTGGCGCAGGCCACTCCGCAAGTTCTTTGACCCGCCATGGCCCAGAGTGCTCAAGCAAGCAGAGCTCGGTTTGTCTGAAAATGGAGTATACCTGCTAGACCCCCAAACATCTGCAGTTTTCATGTAAATGAACGACAAACATCGACAAACCACTATGACGAACATCGACGAACAAGACGATTTTCAGACAAACCCAGCAGCTCAGGAACCGACCTGGATGATTCTGCAATAACCGGGCCCTCTGCTATCCATCACCTGAGGGTCAAGTTGCAGTGACCATGAACGTGGCGGACGCTGGTGATTTCCATCCATATCCATCCATACATTCGGGATTGTGGCTATGGATGGCTAGGGGAATTCAGGAGGATGTACCATGTTTTCTCCTATCAAATATGGGGCTCTTGTAAATGTTCCCCTCAGCCGATTCTGGGAGCATGGGAACACGTGGAAGGGTGTTGGGAATATCTTGAATATAGCAAGATACGATTCATGAATATCCATGATGTGTAAAATTGGTTTCCGAAAGTTGCGTATCTCATATTTAGTAACGTATCCATAGTGCCGCAGGTTTCTGCGTCATGACAAATTAACTGTTGGTGTTGGTGTTGGTGTTGCTGTTGCTGTTGCTGTTGCTGTTGCTGTTGGTGGTGTTGTTGTTGTTGTTGTTTGCATAAACCCTGGCCAGCTTGTGAACCATGTCAAACGAGAGCAAAAATCAAACTTCTTCATTTCGATTCATTGCTTCTGAACTGACAAGCTTCGTCTCAAATGTCTAACAGGCTTGTATGGTTACTATGCTCCACTGCCATGTGTCCATGCCTCATCTCCCCCCAAGAAGTCCCCCAGGTTTTTCCCAACCGCCCCAACCACCTGGCTTTGGAACCATCTGCGCCAGAGCAGCGACTTCTTGTGACCTCCATGAGGGAACACATCGATTTCATGGGCAAAGGAACTGTTGATCGGTTCACCAAATCTGATCTCAAACGCCAAACCTGGATGTTGAGCTATGTCAGCATATGTCAGCTATGTCAGTTCACCAAAAAACGGAGCCAATGAAATGGCTTCGTCTGAAAAAAAAGAAACTGGGGAAATTGATTAAAATTGCCTCCATCGCTTGGGACCCAGGAACGTGGCCATGGCGCCTTGCTGTGGCCCGCGGCACTGGCCGATTCAGCTCCAGCCTTTGGCACCCCCATCTGATCTGATGGAAGTGCCCCAGTCACAAAGAGCTTAGATTCGCAAAGCTGCTATAGAGATGTGTTCACATTGATACTCATTGATTGATGCATTTGCCGTGGCGTTAGTAAAACCATGTAAAACCAACATCTTTACCAGTCATTCATGGCAATTCATATCTCCAAATTGTCATCAACTATCTATTTACTTTATTCTCAGATATTCTCAGATCACTATTTTTAATTGGTAAATCCACTATAAATGGCCATGTTCAATAGCTATGTTAGTTTACCAGAGGGTATCGAAATCTCCAGTCAGATCATTAAGTCCATGGTGAAACCCTTCACTCGGACGCGGGACTGGATGGATTGCAGCTCAATCCTCGGCGGCCGTATCGAATCAAAGAGGCAAGGAAATATCATAATTTGCCAATTTTTGGGGTATACCATGGTATACGGATGTATACGGTATAACGGTTATAACTGATACTGGGCCAAAACATGGCAAAACCAATATTTCATATTTATTTTACTGGCTCTATGTGGATTGTGATGTGTCAGTAGGGTACGTCCTACAGTTTGGGAAACTCAAAATCCAACTGAATCATGTTGGATGTTTGCCCAGGTCAATGGTTGAGTGCGTCATTCCCCAATTAGACTCGCTCGGGACTCGGCTGACTGTTGGTTGCCTTTGGCTGATGAAACCCAAGATCTGTTACGATTGTTACGACTGTTATATGTAATAATCTGTATTTCTTCAGAAATCGTTGGGAGTGTGGCAACCCAAGACTTATATTATACCTACTAGTTGCGACAAAACAACAAGCGAACAGCTGGGAAATTCATCCCATTTCAAAATTGCTCCCCGATCTGCCCCTATGAAAAGCGTCAAAAATTGCTCCCGATTTGATCATGATAGATCTACATTATTAATCAAATTTAGCTTGCCAATGCATCTTCATATATCTTCATCCAACCCTGAGAGGTTGTAGAAGGCCACTACATCACCATCACCTCGGCGGTGCTGCCCGCAGGCCCCGCAGCCCGGCCTTCCCTCTTCAGCAACGCCATTCTCGGAACTCTTTCCACCTCCGGAGGTTCGAATGTTGGCAGGATGAACGGGATGAAAGGGAGATGGGTATGGGTCAAAAGCCACAATGCCATATTTGGATGAACATCCATTCATCATTTATCAGCTATCTTGATGTTCACCACATTGCCAGGGTGGATGAAAGTTGGGGCGCCCCAAGACCCCTCTAGCAGTGCTCTTCACTGGAGACGAGAAATATGAAATGGACGCATGTTCTCTATGACTTTGGGTGATTGTTCAAAGTGGAACCCGAAAAAGACTCAGATGGAGAATGGAGGCTCCATATTTATATATATATATATATGTATAAATAGACCGCCTACAAATAAAAATATCTGAAATATACATAAATATACTGGAAATCACCGGGTCTACATCTCTATATTATCCCTGCAGTTGGGCCATGCCCTATCTCCAGGCCTGAGGCCTTCAGCGCCATGACACTCCTGCGCTGGCAGTGCTTCCAAAAACGAAACGTGTTCACTGCCAGATTTGAGGGCCAACACTATTTTAGATGAAAACGGGAAAATTATATTTTGAAAAGTGTATATATACATATATATATATATACACTCACTGAACCTGCCCCTAGCACTTCAAGCTCGGCTTTTTATGAAACCCGAGCCATCTGTCATGGCGAAGCACCAGGTGTGCCAGCCAGGCCACTGTTAAGACAGTCATCACCACTATTTGGTGACCACCTTTTCACAGAAAAGGGGCTGCCCACAGCGACCGGTCACACCAGCTTCTTTCGGCGGTGTAAGGGGACGGTGGCGGGAGCCGAAAAACTGCGTATCGGGGCATGCAGCGTTCGTGTATAAATATCGTACACGATCAACCATACACTCACTGAACCTGCCCCTAGCACTTCAAGCTCGGCTTTTTATGAAACCCGAGCCATCTGTCATGGCGAAGCACCAGGTGTGCCAGCCAGGCCACTGTTAAGACAGTCATCACCACTATTTGGTGACCACCTTTTCACAGAAAAGGGGCTGCCCACAGCGACCGGTCACACCAGCTTCTTTCCACGCGTCCCATTCTGGCTCACAGTGCGAAAATATTGACACACGAGGGCACATTTGGCCAGGGCTTGGAGAGGGAGGGCCAATTGGACCAAAAGTTGTAGCCTCGCGTCAATATGAAATCTGGCTGTGGGCGATGGTGTTATCTCCCTTGCGTGACCAGCACGTCTAGGGGAATACCCACGCGAACGCACTTGTGACGCCCCGCGTCAGAATCACAGGCATATAGCCTGGTTGTCGAAGATGGAGAGCCTTCAAAAGGTCGTCACAACAGAAGACGACGGAACCAATAATATACTTGTTGGAAAAAGGAGGGAAGCCTCTTGTTGCTATTCCATGCACAACGGTATGAGTGCTTGGATGGCGAGTTTCTCTTGGAGAACCACCTTGTCCAAGGGCAAGAGGTTTTTCATTGTATGCTTGGTAATTCTCAGCAATAAAACGGCTTCCTGAGGTCTGCCGTCAGCTGGCAAGAGGACTTCCTTACATTCCAGCAGAAACAATTCTGAAATGTGCAGAATACCAGAAAAACCCCCAACTCCTTTCTGGAGGGCATCCAGCCCCTTTGGCGTCCTACGGCTCATACCGTCTGGACGGTGCGCCTGCCGGGTTGAGGTGGCTTTCGATCCACGCCAACACCGGGTAAAGGCCTGCTGCAACTGACATGGCCCCCAGACGCCGGAGCAGTTGGTTGAGCTGACGGTTGCAACTCCGTCCTTTCATGCATAGACCTAAAACCACCTCAGAGTCACACAAATGCAAGAACCTGACCCCTTGAAATTTCATCCTTTGCAGCCTCCATTCCACAGTATTGATGAGCGCCCGGAGTGCCAGAAGGTTGATGTGCTCTGGATCTGGAAAGGGGTAGGAGTGCGCCTCGTGCCATCTCCAGCGGTGTGGGTTCACCGTGGCCCTTTGGAAAGCATCTGGGCGATACAAAGTTCCCCCATCCAATCGTACATCACTGCCTCGGTATTCTTGGCGCTTTACAAACGCCTGCGCCATGGCAACTGAGAGGTTGAGATCTCTCTCTGATACCCCCGCAATGGCGGTGGCAGAAGAGGGGCTGCGGGGTACCTGCAACGTTTCCATTTGGTGACTCCTCTTTTCAGTGACTCCACTTTCATATCCCGGATCTTCCCCCACAGGGGTCTGATCCTCGTTGATATTCAAATCTCCTTGTGGCAACCGGTGGGTCCGTTTTAGTTCTTGGCTCCAGCTTTCCACAATCTCGTGGTGACCCACTAACTGTTTCACTCCAAAAGACCACAGGACATGGTCTAGGAGGGCTCCTACCAAGGTGCAATGGAAAGCATTTCCAATGGCGCTGCATCGCTTGTCCTCCAGGAGTTCCTTGTCTTCAGAAGACTCTGGAACCTTGCTGGCTAGGCCAAGAGTATGGTTCCTTTCGAACCCCATCAGCAGCTCCCGTTCAGCGGCTAGCAAAGGGCGCACCAGCCCCTCCTCATTCTGGACCATGTATTCAGCATTGTACGTGTATGGTGCAAACCTGTGCAGGTCGGCTTCCCAGCGGGTTTTTGCCCCCTCCGATGTGACTGAGAGCCCTGCTGGCTCCTTGGGGGGCCTTTCTCGGGCATTGGCCCTTGTGAACGTAGGGAAGCGCAGGCCTGAGTCACGCTGCCCAGGCCTCCACTCCCAGCCTGCAGTCAGGATCGTGTGCATGGGCTCTGTAGCCGCTCCATAGATCACTTCATCAAAGAGATCTCCTTGGAGTCACAAGGGGCACAGACACCCAGAATAATCGGGGTCTCCTTGCCCTCGACAAATGCCGGGAGTCCACCAGCAGGGGCTTCATGGCTAAAGCCCAAGACATGGTGCGTATCTCTTCTTCGTCTGGCACTGCATTCTCGAGGAACCGTATGTTCCACATTCCTTCAGCATCGGCCACCTCCTTTACCAGGTCCATGACCCTCACCGCTTCATAGAACAGGGCACTTCGCGGGTCCTCCAGGTGAGCCCTGCCCGCTGGCAGCTGGGACAACCCTAGGCAAGGGCTGCCTCCTCCACAAATGACCCCATTCGCCTCGGGAATCTTTCTCAGCCAATCCTGGACCATCCTCTTGTTGATCTTTCTGATGTCTGAGCAAAGCTCCACACCAGGGAACCGGCGCCGTAGGCATCGCCGACAGTCAGGGTCTGACTCCACGGCTACCACAAACCAAGGCTTCAGCCTGGCATGGTGCAAGGCCCTCTCAAGGCCGCCAATACCAGAAAAGAGGTCAATCACCACTAGCTTCTGAGCCGTATCCCTGAAATCATCAGACAGGGCATGTCTTTCTGGGAAATCCTCCTTCATCAGCCTTTCCAGCTCCTTAACTCCCAAGCGGCTTAGACGTGACGCGTAGGATGCTCCCCCCCCGCTCTCACTTGCACCGCTGGCAGTAGCAACAGGGTCAATCTGGGCCTTCAGGTCAGTACAGACTACCGGCAACAGGCACTCCAGCAGCATCATCTCCTCAAACAGGGGCACAGTGCCACTCACCTCCACTGGGTGCTGTGACACTTCCACAAATACCTCCTGTAAGATGGAGAACAGGCATCGCCTGAACTGCAAAATGTGCACTGCTTTGCCAGCATAGATCTGCAGGGCTGTGGCCGGGAAACTCCCTTGCTTTCTCAGCCATGACCCAAGGCCCATCAAGTCTAAACACTGCTTTGTCGTAACTCTCAGCAGTCCTCTCTCACCATCAATCAAGGCCCCCAACCGCTCTGCCGAGCGTACTCGTTCCAGCGTCATGCTGGCGTTCGTCGGGATGCCCCACCATTCATACACCTTTCTGAGCCTGGTTTGTTCCTCCGCGGGCCGTCCCTCTAAGGCTGCACTTACGCCTCGGGCAACCTGCTCAATGATGGCATTGTCGTCCACGTAAGTGGCCCACGCTGGGGTCTCTTCCAACCCAGGGAAAACAGCGTCCCTCCTGATCTCCGCCTTTTCCATCAGGCCGGCTCCCATCCTGAGCTCAGAGCGGAGAGCCAATTGCCTGTGAGCGCTCTGCATTACTGCAACTGCGCTGGACCATCCCATAGGAAGGACAGTGATGCCCACCAACGTGGTTCCTTCTTGGCCAGGCTGAAACAACGCCTTTCTAACAGGCTTCCTCAACACAAGGTATTCAGCAAACTGTATGGGCAGGCGGAACAAGTAGAACGTAGCGTTCAAGCCATTGCCTGACAGTAGGAGATCTTCTCCCTCTTCCATGACGATCCTCTGAAAGGATGCCGCTCCTGACAAAGTCTTGCAATCCCCTTCCAGCTGCTCCAAGATTGTATTACTGGCTCTGAGATCCAAGACCATCTTAAGCACAGGCAAGCCTCCCCCGGTGAGTTCATCTGGCTTGATAACACCGAACGTCCCGTTTAGGACGGACTTCCCATCCACCACTGGATGTCGTTCAACGGGGGTGACCAGATGTCGGTCATACAAGGCTTTCACCACCTTCTCCCATTCCTCATCGGAGCACATCACCTGTGGTGTGGGTATGTCCCCGAAGGCCTCCCGCAACATTTGGTCTGGCCTTTGCAACCTCTTTTTCAGTTTCTCATCCACCACCTCCAAAATATCTACCAGGCCTCCGTGCTGCTCGGAGGGCAGCCCTGGGAGTATTTGCTCCAGGGTCAAGGGCCGTGCCTTATGCACCACTTCCCCCGTGCAGGAGACACGCAGGGCCTCCAGTTTCACTGCCCAATCTCCTTGTGGAGTCCTGGGCACTCCCCCTCTTTTGGGTTTCTCATCAATGAACACCTTCACCAACTCCCAGATCCTGCACAGGGCTTCCTCTTGTTGTGACGTGGCCCTTCCAGCAGGGCCACCAATGCTGTCTGCTATGTTTCCTCCACTGTGGAGCCAGTTCAGGCTCACCACCACAAGCCCATGCCACAGCAGGGCCCCCTGCGTACGCAACGCTCTGGAGGCCTGTGTCTTTGTATTTCTTCGCTCCCGCCATTCACCAGGCTGATCCTTGTACCTCTGCTTTTCAATGACCACTTCCAGGGCATCTCGCACATCAGGCCAAAGCGGCAAGGGCATCAGGTTCCTCACTCTTTCGCCCTGCCACCAGATGGGTTTCAATGAGCTCTCCAATAACTTTCCCAGAGTGCCATTCAGGTTCACTGCCTGAAGAATGAGGTATTGGGCCATCTGTGCAGCTGTCAAATGTTCTCCTCCATGATCGGCCAACCACTCCACCAGTTCCATCACCTTTCTGGACCCTACTTCAGCTTCTCTCGCCTGTTTTGTGGCGTGGACGCTCTCTCCCTGTTGGTCCCCCGAACTTCCCACAAGGGGTCTGTTCGACCTGCTCTGTTCCTCTTCCGCCTCATACCGGCGGGTCTCCTCTGTTTTCTGTTTAACAGCCCTGCTTCTTGCTGGGCGCGCCGGGCTCCTGCTTTTCCTCTTTCTGGGCTGCAAAACGCCGGCTTCCGAGCTAGCGCTTCTTTCATTTGCAGCACGACTTTCTTTTCGTCGAACCTCACGTGAGCCACTTTCAGGGCCCCCTTTTCCTTTTCCACTTCTTTGCCTCGCTGGAGGCTTCTCATTGGGGATATTGTCGGGGAGTGACTCCCGGGCCTCCCCCTCCCGGGGTCTGGCCCGCTGCCTCCTCCCTCTTTTGTAATCATCGTCAAGGACTCCTTCAGCTTGAGGGTTCGAAGCTCTGGCTTGGCGGCCAGCTCCATCTCCTCGGATTTGACTAGGGCAGCGGTGCTGGGAGGTACGATCCCTGAAGGGCGTGCCATAGCCCAGTGTCCATCCACCCGCGACATTTCGCAAGCTTTCCGACACTGGACCAGCGTGCTGGCCGCTTTTGCCACCTGTCCTGACCAGAGGTGATCGATGCTCACTGACAGTGTCTGGAGCTACCGAAGAGTCCGCCGACCTCTCTTGGCTCGAGGACGGGTCTCGATTAAAATCTGGCTCAGACAGGCAAGGCTCTTCCGACTCAGCCACCTCATCCCGACGTCGACTTCCCCCCTCCGCTCGGCTAAGGGGTGAATCATCTCGTCGAGAGCAAGCCTGGTCCGATGAGGACTCACTCTTCTCCGAGGAGGAGCTAGAGCTCTCTTTCTTTTGTTTCTCCTCCTTCTTCTCAACACTTTCTTTCTTCTTTTTCTTCTCAGTCATCTGCTTCTCTCCTTGTTTTTCCCCCCGCCGCGTCAAATAGCGGGCCCTGGAGCTTTCACCCTTCAACGGCGACCTGCTCCTTTCCTTCTCCGGCCCCCTCGGGGTGCTCCTCCTTCCAATCTCCGGAGCTCCCTCTCCTGGGTCTGCTCCTTCCAAAGCCACCTGGTCGAGCCCACTTCTCAAAGGAGCCCCCCGGGCTTTCTTTTCACGGGCCGCCTGACTAAGAGTCTTTTCACCAAGTTGCACGCCCAGTCCAGTCAGGTAAGGGCTCTCGACCATAGTCAGGGGGGTCTGCAACCTCCATTTGTCTATATGGATGAGTTCTCGCCTGTCACCTCTGGTGTTTCGCACTTTGCAGCGCGATGCGTCACAATCACAGATGTGATAAATCCCATTCGAACTTCCCATCTCCTTAGCCACGAAGTATTGGTAGTCCTTGTCAGAGGCAGGGCCGTGAAGCCCCAGAAAAAGGCATTGGTCTCTGTCTGCCCAGTCTTGAAGGGCTATCACCCCTCGACCCTGAGCATGCCAATCAGCGTCGCTTTGGCGGCGCTAGCCCTACCTGCGGCCTGGGCTCTGCTGTCTTCCTCTCCCGGCTGGCTTCTTGCTGGGACCCCCCTCCCCCGTAGGGTCTGGGTGATCCAACGAGGAGCCAGGCCGGGGAGGCTCAAGCACTTCCCTGTGAGCCGAAAAACTGCGTATCGGGGCATGCAGCGTTCGTGTATAAATATCGTACACGATCAACCATGCATGTATATATGTAATAATATATACACGATATAAATAAATGTGCATATATATATATATATTCACTTAACTATATACAAATATACAGTATGTCAAACCGCCCTTGTGAACACCAAAAGAGCTTACAACTGGATGTTCACCCCCTCAATGATGGTCGCAGGTTTTGGCTTCACTCATCCCCACATCGAGGCCCCCAGCATCGGCTGCGCTGTGGAGGGAACGGCTTTGCTGGAACGTTGCCTTGGCTGTTTGGCTGTTGGGATGACAACTGGAGTTCCAGCCGCGCCGCGGCTGATCAAGTTGGGGCTCCCAGCACATGGCAGCGTTGTAGCAAGGGATCAATCATTCCCTGCACAGGGAGAACCCGGGGATCATATGGTGGGACTGCTGTGCTACCAGGGACAGTACAGAAACGCACAAGCAGAATGTGGACAAGGAGACAAAGAAGAAGCACAACCGCTGAAGTAAAAAATAGGATCCTCTCGATTCGGATGTCTTCGCAGTACTCTTTGTCAAGATATATCTGCCAAGCAAACCTGTCCATTGTCTACAGCAATAGTTTGATCTTGCCAGAATAGTGAATTGTGTCAAGTCATGTACCCTCTGGTAATTTAACATAGCTATTGAACATCACCATTTTTAATGGGAAAATCCACTATAAATTGTCATTTTCAATAGCTATGTTAAATTACCAGAGAGGGTATTTGGATTTTTTGAATTGCTATATATCTCAGATAGGAATGAACAATGAGAACTGTTTGAATATATTGAAATCACCTGTAATATCAGGTGAAAGCCAGTTGCCGCCTGGCACTTGAGGCTGCCATTGACCCTGAGTATACCCATCTGTGTGCAGAAACACTTGACCTAGAGACGAGCAATGGTTAACTATATTTAAAATTATTTAAATATGTTTAAATTTAAATAATATCTTCAATTGATCTGGGCCATGGTCTTCACCACTATTCATAGGATCTTTGCTCCCCCGCAACTTGTGCATCCTATTGGGCGATGGTGCCTCTCAATGACCAACCCCCTCTCAATGACCCAGAAACGACATTCAAAATGAATGGTTCATGGATGGTTAATCACCACAATGGATGGAAAATCACCAATTGGTCATTAAGTTTACCACCCCCTCTCATTAATCTCATTAACCCAAAAAACCGATTCTTCATGAAGAATTGTGACAAGGATACCCAACAACTAGGAAGATCCATGGAATTTTGGCAGCCTCCACCATTTGCCAAGTCACAGGATTGGTCACCCTGAATCCTGGACCTTCGATGGAGGCACGGATGCTCTTGAGATGCTCCTGCGAAGCTTGGGGGGCATCCTGGGACTGGAATCTCTGGGAATCTCTGGGACTGAGGACAAGTCTGTCCAAAAAATCCGGAATTGTGCCGGATCCCGTGATATGATTCTTGAATCTTGGAGCCGTGATGCCTTGCAAACAAATGGTCATGTTGTGTGAAAACAAACAAACTCAGCTTGGCCGAAACAAAAGAGATCCCAAGCGTCACCTTGATGGCGGCGCGGAAGCCACGCAGCTCCTCCTGTAACCGGTATCATGGCGCCCAGTAAATGATGTAACCAAGAATGTACATGAATGTACATGGTTATGACGTCATATTGAGTCATATTGAGTCATGATTCCATTCAACATTGATGCAAATGGGTTTGTCTGAAAATAGGGTATATTCCCCAATTACATATAGCCATTTAATAGGGATAATGATCAGCAAAACCATTGGGTTTAGGGGTACACTATTTTCAGACACACCCAAATGATTAAATGATGATATTGGAATCTTCACCACTACCTATGTACCTACGCTTTTGCGGCGCCTCGTTGGGATCCGGCGCGCTGTTCTGGAGCTTCACCTCAGGCTGACTGCTATGTTTCCAGGATTTCATGAGATTTACCCTCTGGTAAACATACAAAAAAGCTATTGAAAATGACCATAGAAATAGATAGAAATAGTGGATTTACCCAACAAAATAGCATGGTGGATCTTTCCATGGTTATGTTAGATATGTTAGTTTACCAGATACGATATTTACACCAGGAATGATACATGGCTATCTCCTGGGCACCCAGGCGCGAACGTTGGAGATAGCCTGACAAAATGCTGCTGGATTTATGGTGGATGTCCGTAAGAAAAAAATAATGATTTTGCATGATTTTGCATGATTTTGCATGATTTTGCATGATTTTGCGTGATTTTGCGTGATTTTGCGTGATTTTGCGTGATTTTGCGTGATTTTGCGTGATTTTGCGTGATTTTGCGTGATGTTGCGTGATGTTGCGTGATGTTGCGTGATGTTGCGTGATTTTGCGTGATTTTGCATGATTTTGCATGATTTTGCATGATTTTGCATGATTTTGCGTGATTTTGCGTGATTTTGCATGATTTTTTGCATGATTTTGCATGTTTTTGCATGTTTTTGCGTGATTTTGCGTGATTTTGCGTGATTTTGCGTGTTTTTGCGTGTTTTTGCGTGTTTTTGCGTGTTTTTGCGTGATTTTGCGTGATTTTGCGTGATTTTGCGTGATTTTGCGTGATTTTGCGTGATTTTGCGTGATTTTGCGTGATTTTGCGTGATTTTGCGTGATTTTGCGTGATTTTGCGTGATTTTGCGTGATTTTGCATGATTTTGCATGATTTTGCATGATTTTGCATGATTTTGCATGGTTTTATCATGTTTTATCATGTTTTATCACTGGGATTTATTGATGATCAATGGCTTGGTTTAAGGGGAATTCTGGAGGAAACCATGGGCTACCCCACGAATTATGCGAAGTATGGGGAAAGTAATGCTGATTTTTCCCTTCAACCCACTAGAAGCCTAGAAGCGACAAAATGGGATATGGGAATCGGTCAAGACTTATGAAATTCCATATTTGGGGAGGATGAATGATACGGTGGATGGTTGCGAAATCCTGCACCAGTTGATAGATGGTTTATCCCCTAATTTATAGGGTTTCAACCATCCTTTTGGTGGTGCAGGATTCTTCCATCCACAGTATCATGATATTGGTGTCCCATCATAAGTTGGAAACCAATCTTATGTAGATGCTTGGTTTCACACAACGTGAACCTGTCCGAATGTTCCCTTGCGATAACCTGATACAACAAGTGGTTTACAGTTGCAACAGGATTCTGTCGCGAGGTAGTTCCTTATCAAGCCTGGTGAATGGATCAAGAAGAACAAACCCATTGAGAACTGGTTGGGTCCACTGTTGAGTCACTACCATGCAGGGCCAAGAAGTGATACCGATGGCTGCCAGGAATCGAAACCAACCCTTTAAAACCGCCACTTAACCGTATCGTTATGGGTAGAAACAAATATACACATTATCTTATTAAAAAGGTATATGACGATTTGCCAAAATGTCTTTTCCTGGTTTGGTTGATAAATCGTGATTCCTTTTAAAACCATGACTGACCTAAATAGTCTGAAACCCTGCATTTTATCTTTCATGTTTGAAGCCGTATCTAAAACCTGCAGTAAATGCTAACGCGCGTCTATATGAAGTGGGTGCCGCTGCTATTTATTAGTGGTGGAACTGGAATATCTGCAGAGCTGGTCGTTGCCTTTGCTGTCACTTTGGCTTGTGTCACACAAACAGGACAAACTACAAGTTTTCTGGTGGCGGCTGGGTCACGGGTCAACCAAAGCCGTTTTTTGAAACTTTTGCTAGCGCATTGCTAGCGGGTAAAATTACGTACAAATTCGCAAAGTTGAGCCACAACCTCAAAAATATAGGAAAATTGTTGAGTAGCACAGAAATTCACTAAGACATCCTTAGGTTTAAGGAGCTAAGTGTTACATCTTGACTTTTCTTCATGTTGAAATAACAAGCAAACAGGAACACACAAAAATATCCTTGACCACGGGTGTGAAAAAAACTAGCGCAAACCTAGCGGGTTTGCTAGCGCTGCCTTGCAGAATTGGTGAATTTAGTTGCGTGCCACCTCATAACCAAAAAGAAAAAACAATAGGTCCACACTAATTATCAACAACTAGTACAAAACTTCTGTCAACTATTTTTGGCAAATTGTCATATATATAATATAATTATATATAATATATATATACATATAATTATATATATAATTATATTATATATATATATGGTGCCCCCCCCTGTACCTACCCTTTTTGTACTTTTACTGGTATTTACGGTGTTTTTTGCATATTCTGGGGTATATATGTTTTTAACGTTTTTTCAAATAAATTTGGACATAGTTTCGAGGGGGAGTACCATATATATATATATAACCGTGGATGTAAACAAACTTGTGAGACATGATGGTTCTGGCATCAAGAGGTCTTAGGAGGTCCTAGGACCTCACTGGAACCAAGAACCAAGAACCAAGATTGCACAGAAAGTCTTGGGGGAATCGTGGTTCTTGGTTCTTGGTTCCCAGGAGGTCCTAGGACCTCTTAGGAGGTCCTAGGACCTCACTGGAACCAAGAACCAAGAACCAAGATTGCACAGAAAGTCTTGGGGGAATCTTGGTTCTTGGTTCTTGGTTCCCAGGAGGTCAAAGGACCTCTTAGGAGGTCCTAGGACCTCACTGGAACCAAGAACCAAGAACCAAGATTGCACAGAAAGTCTTGGGGGAATCTTGGTTCTTGGTTCTTGGTTCCAAGGAGGTCCTAGGACCTCTAAGTTCTTCTTCCTTTCAGACTATGTCTTAAGTATAATTCATACTAATGTTGAGCCGAGCTAGTGTTTTTTCAAATAACTTGTTATCTGAAAAATTGCTCCCCTCCAGACACAAATCAACAAAAACCACTTCATAAACATCATCAACCAATAACCCATAAAATCACAACAACACTCAACCACAGAACCCTCAACCCTCAAAAATTCTAACAGCATAACCTTGCCCAACTATCATCACCAAAAAAACATTATAATTTATGTGGTATTTTGTCGGGCAAGGTTAGGTTGATAGAAAAACTACATTATAAGAAGATGTTTGTTGAAAATTATTGTATTAAAGTGTTAGAGTATTTATTTTACGTAGTATTTATTTAACTAATATGTTCCACAACTTCTATTACATCTATCACAGTATATGGTATTATATTGTCTAATGTATGGGTATATTCATTATTCACCCTTTGGCAGTTAAATTTGTTGTTATATTTCCACCTTTAATAATTGTATGAAACCCACATCCACAGTAATTGCATTGGTTAGTTATATTATCAAAAAAACACTTAACATTCACATAACCTTCTTTTGGTATTGTTCTTTTTGCTTTCCTGTCCTGTTGCTTGTAATTTTCATTTTTTCGTTCATATTTACTTTTCATACATTTATAATTGAATTCATCATTTACATCATCACTATATTTATAAAACTTTACTTTGTTTAAATCTCTTGCTCTTGTAATTGCTGTCCATAACAATTCCCTATAATTTCTAATGTCAAAATGGTTATAATCAAATATTGTTATATCTCCATCTATACTACAGTACTACCTTGGGCAGAATGGCAGGTGGTGCAATGAGCAAATATAAAATTATCTCTTACCTTCTTAATATTAGTTTTAGTATTTTTCAATGTCATTACCCCATCCTTTCCAATATGGACAATACCATATTTAAAATTCACATTAGGTACTGATGTAGGGGTTTTAGTGTATTCTCTACATATCAAAAATTCTCCCACTTCATATTCATCTTTTCTATTTTCTAGTTTCCTAATTTCACTTGCTACATTCTTACAGGTATCATTTATGTAGGCAATGTTATGCTTTGAACCACTTATACTAGTAGTATATCTGAAATATTTTTCAATTACTTTCTTCTTGAAAGGTAGTTTATTTACAAGAATAGCAGTTTTTACATTGCTTATGTTTGTCTTTATCCTCTTTTGTTTTCAGTTGCTTACATTCTTTTAATACTATACTATTTGTGAAAATATTGTTTATGATATGGTCAGCATATACTTCATACTATTGAATGTTAGTTAGTGGTTGAATAGGTTTTAGTTGCTTTGTGTCTCCTGTTGCTACTATTATTTTGTTGTTTTTATTCTCTTCTACAAATTGTTTTATTGTCCAGTAGGTGCTTAAACTACTGAAGTAAATTTCATGAAAAACTATTACATCATACCCTGAATAATTAAATGGTTCTAACATTACATCACCAAAACTTCTACCAAAAAACTTATTTAATGTTAGTGCGTCTCCTTCAAATTCTTGAAGCACTCTATTAGTAGGACATACAAACATTACCTTATACCCTTTACCTACCATTTTCTGACATATATAACTGTTGCCAGTTCCAGCATAAACCCCCCTTATCATAATTGGGTTATTTTCCTTGTTAACTTCTATGATATCATCAGTGGCATATTCATTTTCAATATCAATTACCAAAACAATGCACTCATCTGGTGGAATCCACATTGTCAACAAAGGCTAAAGGTAGGTACAGGAGGGGGGGGTAGCATATATATATGATTATATTATATATATATGGTTATATTATATATATATAATTATATTATGTATATATGAGTAGCGGACAAAAAATATTTAAATTTAATGCCATTCACAAATTAGGGTTGTCCCCTATCCGTTGTGAGGATTTCAGTACTCCCGGAGGTACCACTCAGGGGTTATCGGTAAAGGGTCGTCCCCTATTGGTTATGAAGGTTTTGTGCAACCTCAGGAAGGCCAAGGCGCAGCAAGACTAAATTAGTAGTACAATAATTTTGTCGCTTGCTCATATAAATATGCCTGTACACTGTAGACATAACAATTTATATGTGTAATTATATTTCATGATATCTACCAATATGTTAACATTCTATCAATATATGTGTATATATAATTATGTCTTACTTATAGAAATTCTGTTAACTAATTTAATAGAACATTAATTAACACGTTGCAAATCCCGGCCGCCATCAACAGACGCGCCAAGGTGCTCGAAGCCAGAGCTTTCTCTCCGCCAGGCTCCGGGTGGAGAACTGGTAATCCTGCGATCCGACCCAACGGAATGGCGCGCGAATCGATGCGACGCCAAATCTATGCGAAATGAAGAACATATACATATAGAATAATGGTATTATATGGTAATGATGAATATATTATCAATGATATGGGTATGATATAGGTAAATTATCAATGATATAGGTAAATTATCAATGATAATGATAATGATGCTGATTAGTTATTGAATAATATTGAATATATGATGTTATCTTGAGCTGTTGTTTTAATATGTTTTAATACAATTATTATGTTCGTTATCTATACATTCAGCAAGCCTTAGAGGTGCACATCGAAGGCTTGGCAAAGCATCACATTTCCCAATGCCAGGAAATGGGCGCAGGAAACATCGGTGACACAGGATGTATCCTCTGGTAACCGAGCATAGCTATGGAAAACCACATTCATGTTTTAATGAATAGCTAAATCATCGAACTAAGAATTACTAAGAGGCTCATTTTTCCATAGCTATGTAAGGGTATAACTCGGGTACTGCATAGTTTTCATTCAACCCTCTAACTTAGTCACGGGATGTTCCTGGCATCTTGTTGCCACATGAAGTGGTTGATCAGTACTCCAAACAAAAGGGTTCAAACATGCAGCCGCTTGAAGGTCATTTTCGGCGGCCTTTATGCTCTGTCAATGAGCATCACAGCGTCCGAGAGCTGTAGGGGCTATCGACTATCTAAACACGACGCCCGTGAAGCTTCAGCAGGGGCAGCTGCAACAATGCACGTGCCACATCAGGTACAGGTGCAACGAAAGCTGCTGATCTTGTCACCCATGTCGATATCACCTGGTTCATTTCCACTCACTTGCAAGGGATGGTTGACCCATCCCTAACCATGAAACAAATAGATTGGGCTCCATCAAGACGACTTCGGAAACTGAAACACTACGACAACTTAAATACGTTCATATGTATTCCTCTGCTCCAAAATCTACAATCTCAACAACTGGAAACTGTTTCAGTCAATCCAAGTTTCGGTTTACAACTACTAAACATACCTTCAATATATATATATACATATATATATACATATATATATATATACATATATATATATAATTATATATATATATCAAGCTAGTGCATATTGATATCATATATATATATATACTTACACCAAGATATTTACCAAGATATTTACCAAGATATACCAGGGTATTTTACCAAGACATACCTTAAGAATCCTTAAGAATCCTTAAGTAGAAACCAAGTCACTGAGGTAGTTCCAGTTCTTGGTATAGGCATTGCTACTGGAGGACGTGGCATCCGCCAGGACATAGGCCGTGCCACTGCAACCACCGGACTGGTAGGCGGAGATCTTGCAACCCGGAGACGCACCAGCCAGACCTGGAAGATTCAGGGCTTCTGATCATTAGCCTCCGGTAAATTAACATAGACCCTGGCAGTCATCGGGGTTGAAAGACTGGTTTCCACTAAAAATGGGCTTATTTGGCTTATTTTCAGGGTCTATGTTAATTTACCAGAGGGTACTGATTATTGAAAATCAATGTAAATGATTGAATTATGATCAATGGGTATTTGTTAATGATTTTATAAATGAAAATTAATGATCATTAATGATTAATTGTATATCTGTTGGTTGCTCTGGGAAGCCTGTCTCCTCTACATCGTTATCTCATTAATGATGTGTTAATGAAAATTGTTTATCAATGATTTGTTAATCATTAATCAAAATGAATGATTATGAATGGTGATTATTAATGGGTTTATTTGAAATCTTAATGTGTGCGCGTGTGTGTAGGAATGTATGGATGTTAGGTGGTTGGGTAGGTGGGTAGGTGGGTAGGTAGGTACCATTGGATCACAAATTGGGTCCCCAGGGATTCATAATTTTGAGCCATGCCCATAATAATCTGCATAGTCCATCTTCATCAATCATTCACAGCGCTCCCATCCCCACCTGAACTCAGTTTCTTATTCCAAGACCCCGAGTTGTAGGTCGTGAGGTCGTCGCAACCATTGTTGCCGATCTCATAGTTCAACCAGCCACCCCCATAGTTTGAATTCTCCCACCTACAGGCGAATAGGGCGGTGGATCTGAGGTTGATGCACGTCGACGCTGATGTAACATGGATTACAACCAGTCCGTTTGGAGAGTGGCATCGGCAATTCTTCAGTGTGTAAGGATCTGATTCATCATCGTCCAGCGCTCATGACTTCTGACTGCAGCCAGAAGTATGAAACACCGGGGGGTTTTCAGCAATGCCCATCCGGCTCAAAACTAGGATCAAAAAGGAATGCTCAGATTTGCTCCGTAACAAGCAATCTTGGGGTTTGGGTGTGGCGCCGGGGCAGAAATGACTCACAAATGACAGCAATTTGAATCAATATTGTCCTAATATCATTAATCAACCAACCAGTGGGAAAATGAACATCTACCCTCTGGTAATTTAACGTAGCTATTGAAAATGACCCTAAATAGTGGATTTTCCCATTAAAAATGGTGGATCTTTCCATATAGTTATGTTAGTCATTACCAGGGGGCTATAGTTTGAACCATGACACATTTGGTACCAGCACTTCTTATTCAAGGTGTTGATCTGTCGACGCCGGCGGCTGCGACGGCGACGCTCAAAGATTCCATGGTCCAACAGACTTTCCACGCGGCCCTGGGCCTCATCGTCCTTGGTGGTGACCGTGCTCCGGGTGGATATGGTCGTGTGGTAAACCCAAATAATCCAAGTATATATATATATATGCATAATATATATATATAATGTTATACAATATTTATAAACATTCACCCCCCCATCCCAGTGACCAAGCATGTGGCCGACCCCGGCCGACAGCAAGGGGGAGTGAGTCAGGGCAGGGAGGTTGCAAACAACAACAACAACAACAACACCAACAACACCAACAACACCAACAACACCAACAACACCAACAACGCCAACAACGCCAACAACGCCAACAACAAGAACTGGAACAAGCACAAGAAGAACAAGAAGAACAAGAAGAACTAGAAGAACAAGAAGAACAAGAAGAACAAGAAGAACAATAATAAGAAAAAGAACAAGAAGAACAAGAAGAACAAGAAGAACAAGAAGAACAAGAAGAACAAGAAGAATAAAAAAGAACAAGAAGAATAAAAAAGAACAAGAAGAACAACATAGAACAACATAGAACAACATAGAACAACATAGAAAACAAAGAAAACAAAGAACAACAAAGAACAACAAAGAACAACAAAGAACAACAACAACAACTGCTACTACTACTACAACAACAACTACTACAACAACAACAACTACTACTACTACTACTACAACAACAACAACTACAACAACTACAACAACTACAACAACTACAACAACTACAACTACAACTACAACAAAAAAAGAAGAAGAAGCAGAGGAAGAAAGAGAAGAAGAAGCAGAAGAAGCAGAAGAAGAAGAAGGAAGAAACATATATGTATTTGTTTTGCTGTTTCGGAGGCGGCACGAAAGCATATAGCTTGTGCTTTGCGGGCTGGCGAGCTGCAAGATGTCGCAAACGGGGTAGATAAACTGAGAAATGTAAGTTTTAGTAGGGTTTCGGAAAGGCCGTTAAGCATTTTGGGTGGCTCATGTTGTTTCGTTTTTGGACATAATGGGGCATATGCTAGTTGGTTTCGTCCGGAAAGAGAGGGGTTGCTTCCAATTTCTGGGTATCTTAATCCGGAAGTAACGTTCCAAAATATTGGCAAAAGAGCTAATACCTGATTTTTGAACAAACCCTTGAACTTGCCAAAGTATGCATCTTATGTTCTTTGCTTCATCAACCCTTATTTCTATGTCAGTGGTACTGTGGGGTCGCAGGTTAACATGTTTGCAAACTGCCATCATGCAAGGTTGATGGGATGATCTCTCGGAATTGATACCATGGTGCAGGCACAAATCCCACATCTAAGAATGCACCATGGCATCAAGTGCGAAATTTCTACAAACCAAACCAAAAGAAAAGCTGGCCACATGTCAAGCGAATTGTTGGGAGGTATCATTCAGCAATGTGGATCGATATTTTGTCCATACTTTCTAAGATGAATTGTTCGCAAAAACAGATTTTGAACTTCGTAGGTATAGTCATAGTCCACATGTTGGTCAGTGAATGGTGGCCTGATTTAGCTACCATGAGCCAGGCCCCATGGTTTTCCGGGGTCTGCATCAGGGGCGGCAGCCCTTAATCATCCCAAATAGGGTATACATGGGTATACCCAATAATTTTATATACCCTCTGGTAAACTAACATAACTATGGAAAATCACCATTTTTAATGGGAAAATCCACTATAAATGGTCATTTTCAATAGCTATGTTAGTTTACCAGAGGGTAAATTATAAAATAAACCCCCACTGGGGATGGTTGATGATTGGGTTTACATTGGTTTGCCACATGGTCTGCCAATCGAAGAAGATGCTGCCCAGCACGTCTCTGGTCTACAAAAACCTAAGATTGAAACGAACTGGGCAATTGGTTCGCGCCCGAGGAACGCTGGACTCGTGATCCACCACATTGCCGTCGCCACCAGTATCTCCACCATACGTTTCCGAGTCATTCTTCTCCTGAACTGCGGTGAAAATGGAGGACCTCTTGGGTCCGGGTGCCCCTTCAAGTGATCGGGGAACAGCCTTGGAGCCAACAGTGCGACATAATTTCCCCCAGATCCCATGATAGAAAGCTCCGGCTGCGGAACGATGCCAACAACGACCCTGAAAACCCAATGATCAAACATCACTAAACATGAGCCGATTTCGGATCAAAATTCCAGTGCCTTGAAGATCCGCAAAGTGGTGCACATCCCCAAGCAGCTATGGCTCAAAATTGTGATAGCCATCACCGAAGATATTCAGTTGGGATGATCAAGATCTTTAAAACCACCAATCAGTGTGCTATTTTAGCCATCCCAAATATTCCTGGGGAAATGTCTCACCACCTCATAGCCTTGGTCTGAAAATGGTGTTTTCCCTGAAAATTGTAAGCATACCATGATGACTGGGGGATGGTTTATGACAGTGTTTTACCCACATTATAGCTGTTAATCACCATTAATCACCATTAATCACCATTGATCACCATTAATCACCCCCAAAGTGGATCTTCTGTCCACGGCACCTTGGACGTGGCCTCGACTTCGGCGGATCCCTCCTTTAGAACCTGCCCAGGGGGGGCCTGGGCTTCAGCAGGGGTCAAGAGTTGAAGAGTTGAAGAGTTCAATGATGGGTGAATGATGGGTAAATTATGGATAACTGATACTTGATATTACTAAAAGTCATACTTAATCATGTCAAACTGGCGCTATACATGCGAAAAAAGGCTTATGATTTATGTTCATGTTCAATCATGTCTATGGATTCCAATCTGCCTCCAACTTGTGATCCCAACCTTTCATCCCCCGCCCACCTTTCCATCCACCTGGCGTTGCAACAGCACCAGGTGTGGCACTGCAGGGCATCCATCACCGCTGCAGCCAGACTTGAAGGCACTGGCCACGAGCAGAGGCACCAGAAGGAACAACCTGGGCCCTCTGGGGCACTTGAGGCAAAAAATGGCGGATGTTTAGTGCCTTTTAGTACTAAACCGCAATTTGTTGTGAGTTTGGGGGGTGATGATTGTGATCCAGAGCCATGTGTGGAGATGTCATCAATCGTTATCATTATGTTAATCATTAACCATTTCCAGACAAGATCAAAGAGATGGAGTGTTTAACATTAGGAGGAAGGGAGTATACTAACCCGGAGCTTTTTTGAAACCTCAGACCAATCTTTCAGGAACCTGACTGCCTCACCGAAACTCCTAGGCTAAGCCTCTATCAACAGTCAACCGATCCCAACGGGCCAACGGGGACGCCATACGCAACGTCTCTCTTAAAAGGTCTAACAGCATCATTCCTCTCCAAACATATCCCAAAACATTCCATGTTTACGACCAGGAACTCAAGAACTCGCATCCTTGCAAGCGAGAATACGAGTGTGCGATGCTGTAAAACTGGGTAAGATGAGGTACTGGAGCCCAAAGGCAACGTCAAGGCGGGATCATGGGCCATGGAACGGTGAACCTGTGGATTTGCCTGGTAAGTGCCAGCAATTTCAGGACTCTGTCCAGAACATCGCATCTCTGAGATTTCAAAGTCGGAGTAATTTCATGATATTGTTGATAGAACTCTGCACCAACCACTTATACACATATATATATATATAATATTATATATATATATATTATATATACCTGAACCTTCGTTTGGTACAGAAAAAAGTGTACAATGCTTCGTTCGATACACTTTTTGTAAAGTCGAGCGCTATTTGGGGAGCCCCCTAAAATCGAGCAGTTTTTTCAAACGAGCACTTTTTGTTCCATAAAATGTTGGTTTGAATATTCTGTAGTAAAATGTTCACGATATGTATGTTCATGCATGTTACCTCTCATAATGCCCACTCCCCTGCAGCATTTTGCTTTACTAGTGGCCCGCAAGTGCGAAGATGCAGCTACCCACTCAGCAAGGCAGGTGTGGTTCGTTGAAATGATCATGAACTTGTATATATATATATATATATATATCTGTGCATGGTATCATGTTGGGAGGTGTTAGATGGATGGCTGGAGTGACGAGTAGTGCCTATGGCCATGTACTTGGGAAGGCTGGGGTGACATGCATGTAGCAGGGTATGGCATCAGGATGAACACATGCATTCCTATATCGTGATGTGTGCGCAGGTTCTTTGATGCACAGTGACCTCCCGACCTGTCAAATGTCTTCATGCATGCACTCTGCCATGCATCTTCATGCATGCACGCACGTAGTTGAAACTTTGCCATGCAATGACTTATGCACATCCACATATGTTGTGCGCAGTTTTTGGCTGACCTGCTGCTAGTCAAAGCCATTTGGGGTTGATATGGCGTTTTTTGAGCAGGCCGCAGTGCTTGCCACGGCATGGGCCAACAATGAGGACCTTAGAGCTTTGGGCGCAAAACATAGCCTGTGTGTCATCAAATCCAGGCAGCTTTCTAGAAGACACTTGCACGCATGTAGTGTGATTTTTCAGCCGTGTATTTCCAAAACGTTTTTATGTCCAATCATGCATGGGCCAAGGTGATATCACCCGGAATGGCGTTGCAGTTGGCATCGCAGTGTCCAAACTTGGCATGCGTGCTAGTCAAGGGATGCTGGAACAAGCTGTGTACCAACTTCTTTCCTTGTGTTTACCTCGGGGGCAAGAGATTTGCAGCCCCTTGGCTTCTATCACGCACTTCTTTTTCGATGTGGTGTCTTCCATGCATGCATGCAGAGAAACATGTTTCTAAGGTACGAAGCACAAGATGCAGTCCAGAGTCATCAAGAAGCTGATGTACAAGTTTTCACGCATTGCCAAGATACATTCATGCACTTAAATATGTTAGCATTGTTAAGGTTAGCTTTGCTGGCTTTTGTTTGCCATTGCACGCATGTTTAGTGTAAACCCAGCATCAGCATGGCTAAGGAGACCGCATGTGCCACGAGACGCAGAGATGCGGGATGTTTACCGGTGGGCTGGCATGAACCTCCCAGGAGTTCACACATGTTGACATGCATGCATGTTAAAAGGAAAAGATATCTGCACGCAGGATCGCATGAGGATGCTGAGTGTTCCAGTGATGACGAGTCTGGTGGAGTCGACAACTCTTCAAGTTCTTCGGACTCTGTTGGGCCCTTAAAGAATCGACTTGTTGCAGTTACATGCATGTCGTTATAACTTCTGGAATCCAGGAACTTGATGAAAAGGAAGAACATAAGGAAGACTTGGGAAGTAGCAGGAGTGTTGAGGAGAAGGAAGCATGCATGAACCTGAAGAAAAAAGAGGAAGCTGTGGATTCCATCAGCCCTGCCAACTCAGGCCCAACATGCACGCATTCAGATGAGAAAAATCATGTTTTTCAAAGCACGATCTTTTCATAAAAACGTCTTGAAGCCACGCAGGCACCATTCTGAAGACACCGACTCCTACGAGAGCCTGTGCCCTGCTTGCAAAAAAATGTGTCCAACGCATGCATGTTATTAACTGCGTTTGCCGAGGCGCAATTCCACATGATTTGCCAAGCACTGAGAAAGTGGTAAGAACTTTGGAGTTTGATCAACAAGTGGCAATGAAGAAAGACTTGATGAAGGAGTTGGCAGAACTAGAAAGTCTTTTGGAAAAAAGGCTGAGGACCGTTGAGTTGATGAGGATGTCTCATCACCCCAGCATCATGCATGAAGCACCATGCACGAGTGATGAGCCCTCCATGCATGAGATCCCTCGAAGCACTGTTGATGCTCCTGTCCCGGAAGTGACAAAAAATCGACCTGCCGACGTTCTGCCTTCAAAGCCTCTTCAAAGTTATGAACTTAGTATACCTTGAAAAAAAACAAGCACGCACAACATGCAAATAATAGGATCATTATCTAACCACTTACATGGCCGTTTTCGTCTTCCCAGGTCCGGATGAAATGGAGACGCAGCCTATGTTTGAAGAGACCCTGCCACCAGAGACTCTGATGGGGATGGGAGAGACCTCAGAGGTTGACCCTGAACACGCCCCGGTGGAAGCCAAAGAGGCCCCAAAGTCTTCGGGAGAGTCCCGTTCCCCGATGGAAGAGGACGAGGTTACCTTGTCTAGTTTGAATCAAGACTAGCTGTTTCCATCCATGTATATGATCAAGAAAACTAATATATATATAATCAATAAATAAATTATAATAGATATAGATATATATATCCATGCATGTTCATCCATAAGCTACTCTCTGTCTCTCTCTTTTCAGTTTGGCCCCATATTGGCGCCAGGTTCCTGAAGACATCAGGCGTTTGCTGGCAGCGCCATGCCTTCCACCCCCCGAAAAAAAAAGAAGGGGTCAAGCTGCAGAGGATGAAGATGAAGGTGATGACGATGGTAAAGAAGATGGTGGGGATTCAGCCCAAGAAGATGAAGATGCTTTGCCAAGTGCTCCTTTGCCACCACCCAGGCGGGCAGGAAAAGCAAAAGCAGCCCCCAAGGCGAAGGCGAAGGCTGCGGCTAAGGGAAAAGCCAAGAAGTCGGAAAATGGGAAGAGCAAACGTGGGAAGCAAGCTGAGAAAACTGAAGAAGCAGAGGTCGCAGAAGCAGCACCTAGCAGGAAAAAAACTGCACCAAAAGCGAAGGCAAAGGCGGCAAAGAGAACCAAGAAAGTGGCAACGGAGGAGTACGAACTGTTGAAGAGAAAGAGTGTTGCCTACCAGCGTGCAAGGGTTGCAGCCAGAAAGGAGGGCATGGATGAAGAATCTGCAAAGGAAGCGGCTAGGAAGGCCGGGAAATAAAAAACTTTCGTTAACCCAAAGCAATATGCATGCATGTCATGCAGGCATATGGCGAGTGCAAATAGCAAGGCCGGGGTCCAGTGCAATCTTTCATATTATCCACGTCCCATCCATGCAGCCAAACCCTGCACACATGCATGCATGATATGTTTGGATAGGTGTGGTCATGGTGAGCCATGCGGATTGGCCTGAGCCTGTGTGGCATGTGTGTGTGCTCTAGGGGTGTAGCCCGAGCATCTACGTACAGCTGCATTAAAATTCATGTAGCTGCGAAGGGGTAACCGGCACAAGTGCAAACACTTGTGCTGAACGCAAAAAAATGATTCGTGTGAACTCCACACGGCCTTTACATCACGCATGAGGACGGCTGAGCAAAACAAAACACATGCATGCATGCATGATATCTGAACAAAAATCACGCATAGCATAGCCTGTTGTTTTTGTTGTGTGCTAGCTTGCTTTGGCCTTGGTTCAAGCTGGTGGGCTGGACCTTTAAGTTGCCAAGTGCGCTCCCCCCATCGATGTGATGTCGTCTGCATGCATTTCATCTTCCAGTCGTGTTTCTTGATAATTGATTTCATGGACTCCTGATGCAGCACTGTGGGCTCAATGCATGCATGACCATGCATATGTACGTAAGTTGAAGTTGCTACTCGGTCCTAGCAGGCCAGGGGCTAAAAGCGGTGTTGGAATCGAACAGTTGGAACATTTTTTGATTCTTGGCAAGTGGCCAGGACATGGAGGAAGCATCTCAAACAGTGGAGGTGGTCCATGCATGATTAGAGCACTGTGTGCATGCCTGTTTTTTCTTTGTGGCTGCTCGGTCAGGCAGACTTTGGTGGCGTGAAAGTCAGGAAGACTGTCACTTTCAGGCGACCTCTTGACGCAGTCAGGGCCTCATCATGTTTGCTATTGCATGCATGCTTGACTTTGCGTGAGTGAAAACCTGTTGCCAAGAACAGTCCTGGAGCGTGGCAAGAACTGTTTCGCACGCAGCAGGCGCAGCTACAGCCAAGGAAACCCCATTATGCATCATGCATGATTTTGCTTACTGGCAGGTTTCTGAGGGAACGCTACGCCGACTAGAGGAGGCTGGCTGGTGGATATATATTTTTTTTTTATGAAGCCGAAACCATGCATGCGCATTCATACACGCATGTCATTCACGCATGGTGTTTTAACGATCTTTTGTTCCTGCCTAGTGCAGGACAAAGACATCAGCCAAGTGCTGTCATCTCTGGCAGCTCTGGCCCCGAGCCAGGACCAAACACATGCATAGCACATGCACCCATTGCCCATTCATGCATGCATGCCTGCATTCCTGCATGCATACCCCCAGGATCGTGTGTCCAATATCCCCGAAAACGAGCGGATCCTCAAAGTGCAAGCGAAGAAAAGGTTGGAGTTTGCATGCACGAACCCTTTTTGTTTTTTTTCATGCATACGTGGTATTAGCATTTTCCTGTTTGCCTTTCAGGCCGATTCAAGGGGTGGAGAAACCGAAAGACCTGCGGCAGCCTGAACCCTCACAACCCTCCAGGTCGTCAAGGCCTCCAGAGCCAAAGTACCCACCCCGCCCATCGGCAAAGCAAGCAAAACGCACTCCTCCAGCACCACCCCCAAAGCCGCCAGTTCTCCCAAAGCCCTGGTGGCCGCCGCCCCCGCCACCAGCTGTGAAACCTATTGTGGGTGCAAAAGCAC